GAGTTTAGCTAATTTAATTTAAAAATATCAAGTAAGATATAAGTGCATGCTTTCACAACATTTTAATTTGGAAAGTGCAAAAGTTGGTATATGAACTGTCATAATGTATTTTATGCAAAGGTTCACAATATGTTTTACGTATAAGCTCATTTATGAACTGGTGGTTAAAATTATATTGGAGCTGTTAAAGCGACAAGAATCAGTATAATCTTCATAAATCTGCTGGACTAGTTCTAAAGGGTTTAAATGTATATTCTTCTACTGTAGGAGTACAAATGACGAAAGACAAGCTTATGCTCAGGAGATAACAATGAGTAAGGAAAGCTACTGACGCCATCTATTGATAAAATATGAGAACAACATAAACGCACACACACACACATACACATATATATATATAAAACAAATTGTGACAAATCCGGCACCGGTGGAGTGGTTTGTGACGCTGAGTGCTGTACCAGTGAGCCTGAGTTTCAATTATTCTTTTCTTCTTAAGTTGTGAGGTTTATTTAATTTAAATGACAGTTATTTTATGTTTGAAATCTTTACCGTCACTTTCCTCTTTTCGTTTTCCTGCAAGAATGCAAATTAGTTAGCCTGTGTTTGAGCGAGAGTTCGAAGTTGTTAAGTCCGAGCCTGTTCTGCTGCTTGAAGACCACGTTACTAGTTTTTCTACTCTCGATAAGAGATCCTGTCTTCGGCGTTGCCTACTAGCCGATAGTTAAAATCACGTAGGTGAACTCCGAACCAACTTCGTGGATAAATTGCTTTGCATAGCCCTTGGCTATTAGCTATTTAAATTTAGTTATTTATTTGAATTTCTAGAAATACGAATTGAAATGCTCTAGAAAAGTATTTGTCGAACTTCTTCTATCTAAAATCACTGCGGGCTTCATTGATGTCCGCATGGTGTCCACAGCGAAGCTAAATCCCTCCATAGAACTAAATGGAGCCTGAGAAGCTTGTAAACTTTATGGGCAGGCAGTCTAAAAGTTGAACTTCCTTGCGACATGGTCTAAAATTTTAAAGTTTACTACTGTAAAATGTGATTAAACATTTTGTAAACTTAAAGCGGCTTATCGTTATGTCTAAAATTAAAGTACAAATGCCTGATAAGGGCGTAAATGACACTTTTATTTTAAGCTAAACAAGATAAACAGGAGGCACTTCTGTTCATCTTGTTCCTCTTGTATTTTATCTTGCTTACGGCGTCCGCCAGCACTTAGCCAGCTTTTAGAAACACTTAGTAGCGTCAGCATTTAGCAGCAAGAGCCAGCTTCGGTTTCTGAACTGGCGATTTAGAAGTTTTGTATTTTACAGCAAATTTCAGGATGCTGGAGAGAAGGTTGTTGAAATTTGAATCGGAGGGTAGAATCATTACAGCAGAAGAGCATTCGGAAGAATATTTTCCTGAAATGATTTCTTGAAAGTGGGAATTGCAGCAGAAGTCGGTTTCATCAGGTTTAGAGTTAATTTTCCCCTGTAGTTCTTCTAGCGAATTTTAGAAAAACATTCGCATCGCTTAAACCATGAAATGTGTATTTTTATATCTCCCATTGGTGGGTTTACCATCTCTGGGAAGTTGACATGTATAAAGTTGTTTCGAGAACACAAGAGACACGTGAGGTGCTATTGCAAAAAATTTGGCCGTGGCCGACACGTTGATATTTAAAACATTGTATAAGATGTTTACCCGATCGATAATATCTGATGTTCACATTCAGGTTTTGAATGGTCTTTACACTATATATATTTCTTCCTGCACTGTACGGCTCACAGAGGCAAAAAACAACGGAACCATCTCTTTACATTCGACACTTTTTCTGGAGAATTGTTTGAGAACTAGAAAACCGTTCTTACAGAGTTCGGTCATTCCTACATCAGGTTTGGAATCCGCAGGTAATCCATGAATGATCACTTTCAAAGGCGTATCAGTATTATCTCTAAAAGTACTGCACTTCTCTTTTTTCATTAGACTTCCGAGAGCTTGATTACGTTGGTCGCTGGATGTAAATTTAATCGTGACAGACTCCTTGGTAAGAGTCCCTATAAAGTCATTTACTCCGTGCCGAGTAAATAAACTTTTCAGCTCGGCGTCACAATACTTTTAGCCGCACTGGAAGGTTTTGATACTGGAATGACCTGAATGTTTTCAAATTCCAAAATAGCAAAGGAATTTGAAGTTGGGGGCTTTAGAGCATTGTCTTGGGCAATTTACAGCTTGACTGGTTTCCTAGAAGGGATACAACCTTCATCGATAGTCTTATCAACATAATTGTGTTTCTGGTCTAGATATTTAATGTTCTCTTCTAAGGTTTTACTTTATTCTGACCAGTTATTTTTAGTTTTATTTTACTGTTCCTCCTGATTTCAGTTTCCTGCCGGAATGTAAATTTTGTATGACGTAGGTGTGAATTTTAAACATGTTTCAGAAGCAGTGTTTAAGCCGCGTTTCAGGAGTTCAAAAGTAGTAGTAGCGGACTTCGTTCCTATGTTTATGCTGCGAGATTAAAATTAGCTCTCTAGTTCGGTGTTCGACACCTTACAGTTTATGTTGATATTTCGCGGCTTGGCTTTGCTGTGGGCAGTCGATTTAGTGTTAGTTAAGCTAAGGAGCCAGTCATTAGGTTATCTTAATTTACTATTGAAATGTAACATTTTTATTTTCTGTTACGTAGCCACAAGTGGTGGTGATTTGTGAGCACGTAGTGCGTACGTCTGTTTTAATTTAGATTTAAATAAAAAGGTTATTTAAACCTTTCATCTGCAATATTTATTCTTAAAGACATAGCGAGAATTCGCTTTTTAGTTTTTGATATAGGGTTTAAGAGTGTATGCTCCCAAAGAATACACGCTGACTCTATACTCTGTAGGAAACTCTTTCCGTGCAAGCCTTTTTGATAAAATCCGTTTCGACACGTTACAATCTAAGAGCGACTTTTTTTACCTCTATCATGCCGCTTTTGCATTGCCTTTGATTTCGGCGAGAAAATTCTGGACTTCTTCTATTCCCTTCGCGCCCCACATAACTAAACATAGCTTAGTTTGAGAGACATTAAGCAGGAAATACTCAATAACTGACATGATTAAGTCCAAGGAAAACACGAGAGTCAGAAATGGGAGTACATTATGCAGCGGCGTCGACCATCATAAATCAAACTCTCACTTAAACACACGCGGGTAAATTTGCATTCTGACCGGAAAATGGAAAGAGAGAAGTGACAGTAAAGATTTTAAACATAAAATAACTGTTATGTAAATTAAATAAACCTCACAAAATATTTATTATAATTTTTTATAGTAAAGAAAATTTGTAAAAATTAAATTTTTAACATACTTGTAGAGACATTAGGTATTTTTTTGGAAGCAAGCAAGATGAAAAATATGCAACGCCTTCGCCGGAAATCGAAACGAGGATCTCTGGAATACGCGGCCAGTGTGCAGAACGTCACACCACCAAGGCACGCGAAGAAGGCTGGAAAAATACCTTATATACTATGTTATTAATTTTATGAGCTATTTCCTCGGAATTTTAATTAATAAACTGTGTTTTTAGTGCATTATGATGTGTACATAAATTATATGTATTCTCCCAACTTTTCTTAATTACTGGCCATATAAGGACTATTTCTGTGAAATGATAAAATAGGTCTTTAAGTCCTCGTAACATTCAAATACACTCGAAAGGACCAACCGAGGACATAAACACTCAGATGCATGTGTTTCGAAGGTTTGGAAGATGTTCCTGAATATATGGTTGTATGGATGGACTTAAAATCCTTACCAGTGTGGATGGAACTTAACGAAGACCTTCTTCTAAGGTTATACTAAATGTGATATAAAGCATATGAGAGGATATTATTGGGAGATTAGAGATATATACTGAGATATTTTGAGGATGTGAAAAGTAGATTTTTAATTCCTCAAATTTAGTACATTTTAGACGGGACCTAACGAGGAGGACTAATAATTCTTTTTTAGTTCTTTTTGGGGGTGACAGGAGAGAAGAGAGTTATATTTATACGACCTAAGATCTACTTCCATGAATGTTTCCAGACAATCAGACCCAAATTTCATTAATTAAAATTACTGGAAGCGATTAGAAGTTATGACAAAATTTCGAAGTGTTTTTTCAGCCTCTGACTTCAAAGAATAAGAAAGCCAGCATTTTACTGTAACAAACCCTCCCAAAACATATTTTATAGATGCTGATACCTCTGGTATCATAATTTCTGTGAAATTTTATCAGTAATCCTTTACGGAAATGTTTCTGTATAAAATTACAAAGAAATTTTATAAAGCTTTCTCAGATCAAAATTCTATAACAACTTTCTTTTTCAAAATCATAAAAAAAAATTTGTTAAATTTTTTTATAGAATGGTTTTCTATAGAAATCTGCAAATTTTTCAAAATGTAATGTTTCTGATGTACTATATGAAGTATTTCCTTTTGAACGAAAATGTTTACCTTTTCTTTCTCTAGCTGAACTTTTCTTAGTTCTCAGTTTATGTACACTTTGTGCAATTTTGTTTTCAGCATTGCTTATGTAATATAATAATTTAAATATGTGAAAGCATAAAATAGAAATGAATGCTTAGTTATTGCCTATGGACTTTTGATGACAGAAATAGTTCCTTAATTTTAACTAAACTGTTATTTAAAATATAATCATTTTTATTTGAATATTTTTCAGAATCAAAAGGATATTGAAATTGTTTTATTAGGAACAAAATCACAACTGTTCCGAAAGTTTTTGTTCCCCCTCCCTCCACATCCATGTCACAGATCATTTCAATATTTAAGTTAAGAAATTCTGTTCAAAAAATGTCAATGTAGTTCCTTGTTTCTAATCTCTAACTTCTATAAAAATTTTCACATCTTGTAAGACGTCAAATTTTTGAAAACGTTTAAATTTCTCCGTAGCTAGTTTCCATACCGATATACGTTAGAAAAATCTTTTCAAAAACAGAGGAACAAAGAAAACAAAAATACAAAACGTATTCTGTTTGCTATGATATTTTATTAATCTACTGTAAAATTTTTTTGCGTTCTTTCTATTGCTATTACAAAACAAATGATCCATGTGCTGTTTACATTTCTGATACTCGGTGCAACTAATTTAGTTCTCAGGAACCGACATAGCGTCCATCATAGGCATGATTTCTTCATCCATTTTGACCATCTTAGTGCAGTTCTGTGAAGAGAATAATAATGTATGTACTACGAAAAACGTCTTATTGAAAGTTTAAAATAGTTACACTAATCAGTCTATCTATTTATATATATATATAAAATTAAAAAGGACTACTACTATTAAAATTCCTATATTTCCAAGTTAAATTAAGAAAGGCAATAAAGTAGAAGAATTACAATTTGAAGTTTAAATAAATTCCAATTTACAATTTTGTAAATTTCGTAATTTTTTAATTTTTGTAATTTAAAAACTTTTTAAATTTTAAAAAGTTTCAGAAAAATTTTACTTGTTAAATAGTAATTTATTAAATAGTAAAAGGCCAATCTGCATGGAAAATTTGCTTTACTAGCAATAGCTAATATTAGTGGATATGCATAATATTATGACGCAAAAATTGTTAATAATAATTATAGTCATGTAAAGAAAATTACCTAAAAATGAACAACTGAAAAGCTAATGAAACAATACGGGTTCTTCAGGGGGAAACTACTAGCTTAGTTCACACTTCTTTCATTTGTTAAGGCATCGTGTTTCGTCCTTGCTATGCATATACAATTCGAAAGTAGAAATGAAATTAAATGAAAATATTTAATTCCCAAATTTAGCAAACTCATATATATATCAAGAATTCCCCTACACGATGTAAGTTAATGTAATACTATTCAGAATAAAAAACTTCATTTAAATGCTAAAACACTTCTTGAACAACAAGTATCTAATCAATGATAGGAGCAAAACATGTAAAAATGTGAAAATAAAACATTATAATGCAAATGTAAATAAAAGGAGTACACGTAATACTTCAAAAATATTCAATTAAATGAAAGGTCAAATTTAAGGACGAAACATGATGTCTGAACAGTTGAAAGAAGTGTGAAATAAGCTAATTCCTCCTGAAGAATCGGTTTTGTTTCATTATCTTTTCAACTGTTGATTTTTAGGTAATTTTAGGTTTTATATGACTATAATAATTATTAACAATTTTTGCGTCATAATATTATACATATTCACTACAATTAGCCATTGCTAGTAAAGCAAATTTTCCATGCACTTTTACTATTTAATACTTGTAAAAAATTTTCTAAAACTTTTTAAAATTTAAATTTTTTTTAAATATTGCTAAAAAATTACGAAATTGTAAATTGGAATTTATTTAAATTTCAAATTGTAATTCTTTTACTTCATTGCCCTTCTTAATTTAACTTGAAATATAGGAATTTTAATAGCAATATTCCTCTTTATTTATAATTTTGTTTAATTAAATCACTGTAGCTTAGGCTCAGGATTCTTCCTCACATTTGTTTCCTTACATTTGTAGTCCTTCCTTACATTTGTTTATGTTTATATACGTATATACACGCAGGGTGAACCAAAAGATCGTTAAAATTTAAAAATTCATAAAAAAGGAAGAAATTATGATATAGAAGTGCGGTTTGCAAAAAAGGACTCACAAGAAGGTCGGTTTTTTTAGCAGGAAAAAATCAGTTAAAAGTATCACCGGTAGAGAGCGCTGGCATGCGTAAAAGTCAGCAGAATTATGAAAATAAGACGAACAATGGCCCCATATCGTGCTCTGGAATACAGAAGCTTGTCAAACGGTTCAAGAACTGGCTCTTTGGAGGATGGGCCACGAAGTGGAAAACCCTCGTTCGCGAAGGGCCCAATTACTGCTATGAAAACCACTTTGAATGATATAGCGGAAGAATCATCCACGAGGAGTAGCAGTGCTCACATAGCTGGAAGTATATTGATGTGCCTCATTCATCGACGTATCCTCCATGTAGTATTGCATCTCGATCCCTATTAATTGCAATCACTGCATGAGTTACAACCGGGAGACACAGCTATAATCCATTTGCCGAAGTGGGTTATGGCAAGAAATGAAAACGACCCTCAGTGATTTCTCAACGTTTTCTGGATGAATGAGGCGCACTTCACACTACACGGGCATCTCAACACCCAGAACACTCGTATATGGTCGATGTCGAATCTTCGTGACAACATGACAAAGTCACTACATCCAGCCAAGATGATAGTTTGATGTGGCTTCACCTCATCTTTCATTGTCGGACCATTCTTCTTTGAAGAATCGTGTCCCACATCTGGCTGGAAAGCATGACCAGTAACCGCTGACCATTATCTCACTCTTTTGCGTGGCAAAGTCGTGCCCGCATTAAATGAAATAAGTGTCTTGTCTGTAATAAGCTTTATGCAGGATGGCGCACCGCCACACGATCTCCATCTAGTAAAACGATTCCTGTTGAGCACCTTTCGGTGAAGACGGAGTGATCAGTCAAAGTGGCAAAATCGCATGGCCTCCACGATCACCCGACCTCACTCCGGTCAACTTCTGGTGGTGGGGTTATTTGAAATCACTTGTGTGCCGTTCATCCCCTTCAACATCGCCCGAAATCAAAGATTCTATCTGTAGTAAGGTTTTCGCAATTCATTCCCGACAGATTTCATTCAGCTGTAACAAGCGATGTGAAGCGTTTTAGTTGTGTCGTACAAAGTTCTGAAGGTCATGAAAGAATAAATGAATGGAGCGAAATGTTGCCCTGTGGTCGTCAGAGCAATCTAACGGTGACATTTGAAACTAAAATGTTTTTGCTGCTAAAAAAAATCTGATTTCCTTGTGAGGCCTTTCTTGCGAACCGATCTTCTTTATCACAATTTCTTCCTTTTTCATGAATTTTTAAGGTTCTTTACGAACTTTTGACTCACCCAGTATATACGTATATATATATGAAGAAGAGTACTCGTTTATTTGTTTGTGTCTACTTCATATAAATTTAAGAATTTTCTTCCGAACTTGATGAAATTTTTCATATTTGACTTTCAAAATATGAGAAAAGTCACTGTCTACATAAAATATCGAAAGCCACCCCACGGGGTCTTTAACAAAGAGGTAAATATTTCATTTTTCTTTGGCATTTATTCTGTTATTAATCAACAAACTGAGCAATTTAAAAGCAATAGACGCAGATTTATTTCAGTTATTATTAATTACTAACTGGACCTATAGAATTACTTTAGCTGGATTCATTAAAATCATATATATACACTCTTAGACATACCACGACACACCACGACACACCGAGAAGATATAAAGCGAATTGGACACAAATTGATATGCATATACAAGTTTCGATGGAAAATGCAAAATTTTACATTTTGGCTGTCAATGAATGAACGGTAGTCGCTACAGCACATCTGGTCTGCGCACCTGGCAGGATATTTAAGAGGAGAAATTACGATTCCAGGTCATAAATTCTTCAAATTTCATTCCGTGTACTCTGGTAGAGAGTAACTATGCCTCGCATACAGGTGCGCGAACGATATGCGCAGATGTCAGAATTTGAGAGAGATCGTGTAGTTGGGTTCAAAGAAGCCGTTTGGTCTTATCGGCGAATAGCTCGACATTTGAGCAGGAGCAATGCCACTATTAGATGATGTTGACAGGAATGGGTGAACCATGGCCGCACACAGCGTCAAGAAGGAAGCGGTAGGCCTAGAGAAACGACAGAACGTGAACACTGAGCAATCGTCAGAGCGGCACTCACAGCCCCAGATGCGTCATTATCATCAATTACTTCAGTGACCGCAAGGACTCACAGAAAGGAGGTTGAGGTCAAGGCACCCCTTGCGCCGACTACCATTGACCTCTGTACATCGTTAAGCCCGTTTGCAGTGGTTTCGGGCTTATTCGCACTTGAATGTCTCTGACTGGAGTACAATAGTCTTCAGTAATGAGTCCCGCTTTGAACTGAGGCCCGATGACCAGCGAAGGCAAGTCTGGAAACGCCCCGGACAGCGGTGTGATACCAACGGTCATTCACGAGGAGTAGCAGTGCTCACATAGCTAGAACCAATACCAACCTGACGGTCTTCCGGCAGATAACCAGGAGTAATGGTCTAGGGTGTCATTTCATTTCATAGTAGGACTCCTTTAGTTGTCATCCGTCGCAACCTTACAGCACAGCGGTATGTCGACAAAGTTCTAAGGCCCGTTGTGTTGCCCTTCAGGTCACGCCACCCTGAGCTTACATTTCAGCAAGATAATGCCCGCCCCCACACTGCACATGTTTCTACTGCTTGCCCTAGTGCTTGCCGAACATTACCTTGGCCAACAAGGTCGCCGGATCTCTCTCCTACTGAGTACGTTAGGAGCATTATGGGTAGGGCCCGCCAACCAGCTCGGGATGTAATGTTGGACAGAATTTGGCACCATATCCCTCAAGAGGACATCCGCAACCTCTATCAATCGATGCCTAGCTGAATAACTGCTTTCATAAGGGCCAGAGACAAACGCGTTACTGACTTTTTCACTTTGTGAAGCTCTATCACAACAATAAATTATCCAATTTTTCTCAAACACTGTAATCATTTGTTTTTCTGTACATGTACATCACTTCTACGGATTTTTGTCCCATTTGGGCAGTTCCTTCTTGGTGCGTCTTTTTTTTTTTTTTTTTTTTTTTTTTTTTTTTTTTTGTCTAAGAGTTTATATACGCCAGTTACAAGAGCGTCCGTTTGTATGTGTGTGATTCATACAAATCTAGAGTTTTATTCCAATTATGATGAAATTTGTCGCATTTGACACTGAAAACAAGAGAAACGTCACATAAGATTTGAAACACCCCCTCGTGGGCTCCACACTCAGGGCGTTTATATTAGAATGTTGCTCTCAGGACACCCACTTTAGGTTAATGTCGCCGTTGTTGCGTTCCGGTTATCAGTGAAAGCCATGCATGGTAAGCAAGGAATTTATAACTGTTTTATGCGCAAAATAAATATTTTTTACACAGTTACAATTTTGAAATCACGTCATACATCTTAAATAAGCGTCACCGTTGTTACGTTTTTTCGGCTATCAAGTTTTGCTAAAATCTTTAGATGACACCGTGTTCGTTTACTCTTTAAAACAATGTAGAACTTTCCAGAATACTGTAGAACCCTCAAAACAGAATTTAAGTGCTCTCTCTATCAGTTTTTCGCAAATATTGCAAAAAAGGGAAGAATTCGGATAAAGTGGAGGGTGATTTTCTGAAAGCACATTTCTGAAAAAAGACATAACCGATCACAAAGCAAATACCAGTTCTTACTAAAACCGTTACAGGGGAACGTGTTAGTTCTACGCTCTTCTAGAATTTTATTCGAGGTTTGTAAAATTTTGCACAACTCTCCTTGAACCAAATTATGGGGGGAAAACACTGACTCCCTGAGATTTCCAAGAAACTACCTCCCATGCCCCTAAATAAAGTCTTTTCACTCTACGTAAATCCAGACAATGCCAGATACTTCAGCTAGTAGTAAATAAATGGAGAAGCTCAATAATTAGCACACATAAGCAAAAAATTATTGTGGACAGCATTTTCGTTAGAACTTAGTCCAGATGTATCAAAGTGCTACTATGGTCACTGTGACCCCCAGTAGAGGTTCTAATGCTTGATGCGGAAGTGTAAGTATTCGGTGGAAAGTAGAGGTATTATTAGTGATTAAAATAAGCTTTACCAATCCTTGTATGTATAGGAACATAGTGCTTGATGCGGAAGTGTAAGTATTCGGTGGAAAGTAGAGGTATTATTAGTGATTAAAATAAGCTTTACCAATCCTTGTATGTATAGGAATCCTTGTATGTATAGGAAAAAAATGTATAGGAACTTGCATCATTTACGGTAATGCTGTGGAGGAAAATTTCGGAAGAACATCTGAACATCTGAATATTGAAAAACATCTGAACTGATTTTCAATAGATTTCGCTTAATAAAAATATAAAAATTCGTTTGAGGAAAGAAAGAATGAAAAATCAGTGATACCCTCGCCAAGATTCCAACTCTGGACTTTACGACTGTTAGCCGGACCTGCTTCTGATTTCATTACCGTAGAGGCAGGAGGAAATTCCTTGCATTCTCCCTCCCACACTTAAAGGGTCCCCAAATTCAGGTGGTGACGAATTAACATCCATCAAATATTAGTCAGGTTCTACTGTAGAGGATTAGGTATTTATCGGAGCAGAAATATGAAAAATCAGCGATTTCTCTTAATCTCCTGGACTTTTAATCGTTTGTTACTTTGAAATAGACATTTTAAGGTTTTAGTGACTCTCCCTTCATTTACGATCGCAGCCTGTTTCGACATCATCGCACGAAGGAAATTCATGGACTTTAACAAATTACAGGATTCGATCATTTTCCCACAGAAGTCGTTGGTTATGTGTCCTTATTTGGGGAAAGAAGAAGTGGCAATGAAATATCTGTTCTAAAACGACATACTATAGCCGGACGTTCTTTTAATTACGCCACGAAGGCACGTTGCGAAGAAGCAGAAAATTTCTTACATTATAAAAATCACAAGTTTCTATTTTCGGAAGCCAAACTATTGCTCGTCCCAATTCGCCTCTGAGTTTGGACTTTTTTAGAAGCTCGTGAAATTTTTTTCCATATCAGTCTCCTAAACGGCGCAGTTTCTAGTTCGTTCCCATCGGATGAGTGGAAAAACCTGTTCCTAGCTCCATCTTTTTTTCTTTCAACCAATCACTGCAACTTTCGCGTCAAGCACAACAGCTTCTATTGTGTTCATTACCGCAACAGTAAAGTTTTAATAAAGATGAAACTGAGTTCCAACGAAGCTAAAATCAGGGAGAAATTTTTGCTTCTTTGTGATAATTGCTAATTAATTTATAATTATTTTAATTAATTATTAGTTATAATCTGCGCAATATTATTTTGCTCCACTATTTACATTTACTTCAATTTGCTGTGTAATAATTTTAACTTTTAAGAGCCCAAAGGACTGCTAGACTCGAAATAATGTTTCTTGTTGATTTGCTTTAAATTTCAGTTACTGTCAATGCGCTGTTTCACTTTCATTCGAGGCTGTTGCCATTCGGCAAATGTAAGATATTTATTTTCCCAGCCGAATCTATCTGTTATGGATGCTAAAAAATTAAGCTAATAAAAGTTTATAATTCTTAAAAATTATTTTTTGACTTTTGAATTTGAAATCGTACTTTTGAAACTTGAAAAAAATCTCAGTTTGGAGAGATACTGTCAGCAGATGTACGATTTAACGATTTAAACAAAGCCACAAACAAAAAAAAAAAAAAAAAAAAAAAAAAAAAAAAAAAAAAAAGGGAAAAGAAAAAGAGACTAGCGATGTTCAATAGGAAATATATCATACTGCATCGTCATAATAGCAGACCAAATGCTGCGTTGGTGGCTCGTCAGAAAATCGCCGTTCTAGGCTGGGAAATTATGCGGCATCCACCATACTCACAGACCTAACATCCTCCGATTATCACTTGTTTCTTTTCTTTCGAAACTTTTTGAAGGGAAAAAGAATTCAAAACTGAAGCAGATGTCAGCCAATCACTGCTTGGGTCCTTCTCCTTCCTCTAAGGACTGTATTATTTTATTTCCCTTCCCAAATCTACTGAATTTTCCGGTAGACCTTATGTTTTCTTCTTTTAAGTTAGTACTAATATAAAATTGAAATGAATTTTAATTAATTGTATTTTCAAAATAATATATACTTGATATAATTCTAAAACATAGTTATGAGTATTCCTATTGTAAATACCCATATTATAGCTTAACATTTCAATAATAATAATAATAATAATGATATATATAGAACTTAATTTTACTTACCATAGATAAATTTTCTAAGAGACATTGCACAAGATTGGAAGCCTAAAAATAAAAGGGCATAAATATGCTAACAATACTACTAAATAAGCAAAGATATTCTTTAAAACTTTTTCAAGCCCTTAAAATTTTCATATCTAAGGTTCAAACTAAAGTAATCTCACCTTCATCATATTCTCTTCGGAAGTTTCACATTTTTGCACCGCCATATTGAAAGAAGATTCATGAACGTCTTTTGCCATAGTATCACTTTTAGTTTCTTCAGTGACTGCTATTTCAAAAATCATCATTTTGAGTTTTTCTACATTTACTGCCTCTTCTTCATTTATCTGAAATCATGTATAGTGCTAGTAGTTATAGTAGCATATTTTTGTCTATATTCATAGCTTTAGTTTGAAAAATATAAAGTACTCTAGTTTCAGACATTATTGGAGGAAGTACTTCCATTTGGATTTGCTTCACGGAGCATCTGAAGCTTTCTAGGACTGAATAATGTTTTTTCAGTTAAGCCCACAACCCTGTTAAATAACAACTAGAAGGAATGCTTTACTGTCAATTTTCAGCTTTTTTTTTTTTTTTTTTTCCTCTTTAAAATATTATCTACTTACCTAAAGTACCTAAAATGGAGTTCTTTGTTTGAAAGTACGCGTCTAATAAATATTTGGTTTTACGTATTCAAATACAAAACACTAAATACACAATTAAAAAGAGGTTTTTATACAATAAGTTTTTATTTAAAATGAGTGATAAATAAGGGAACTAAAATAACGAAATAATTTATCGCATAGTTAATGAAAATAATAGATTAAATAAACCTATTGCTAGAATTCATCTACGATTTTATATCGCGAATAAGAAAAGCTTAGGGTGCCCATGAATTTTTAACGTAATTTCTTACTTTTTGATGAATTTTTGTAAATCTCTTGATTTTATTGATCATTTGACGTAACAAAATTTTTGGAAATAAAAGAAATGATTTTTGTTTATTGAAAACGTTTTTCAATTAATACTTTAATTGGAAATGTGTCATTTAGACTAAAACGAACCTCCCAATTTGACTAATGGTTAGCTGCGCTGACAGCCGTACCGAAGGGCCCGGATTCGAATCCCGGAGGAGACATGGATGTTTGTAAACGTAATGTGTCTGTGCGGCACGGGGACACGTTAAATATGCGGCGCGAGACGAAGATCCACTCGAGACGTTGGTGGTAGGGAAAGAGGATTGGAGACCCTCGGACCCGTCCCCCCCCGGGGTGCTCTCCACCAAAATTGGGGGGGGGGACTGCGCAAAGTTGTAATGTCACCTGGAGGTGCTTCTTAAGGGTTTTGTCTACGATAGGCATAATCTTGGATTCCTTGCCAACATGAATTTCGTGGGCTTATGCTGACGTTACTGTCAGACAAGTCACAGCAACAGACTAAAAAGAGGAAAATAAAATAAGGGAAAAAATGCTTTCATAAAATATATATAAAACTCAGAAAATAATTAATGAACTAAAGAAAAATAATTTATCATGCAGTTTCATGGCAACAAGAGATTAAATAATTCTCTTTACAAAATTCATTTGCAGTTTTATATCACCAATAATAAAAGCGTAGCTTCTAAAAGAACGAAAGGTATTAATCGAATTGTAGTGCAAAAAATATAAGCCAGTATCTTTGTAAATTTATTAAGCCCATCCCGCGCTTTTGTTATTCTTCTCATAAAATTACGGATAAAATCTAGAAACAGAATTATTTAATCCTTTATTCTCATGATGCTGCAGGATAATTTTTTTCGTTCACTGATTTCTTTAAGAATTTTAAATGAAAGCTTACTTTATAAAATAATTTTGTTACCCCATTTATTGTGATTTAAATCCCACAGTGTATGAGATGCAAAACAGTTGTTCTATATGTAAAAATTAACCAGAATTTTCTCTACATAGAAACGACACTCTTGTTGTCGTTTTATCCATTCCACAAAATTAATGACAATTTAATGACGAAATCTTGCTTATCTTAAGATCGCTTAGGGCAGTGGTCTCAAATCAGCGGGCTGTGATCCACATGAGAACCCTCGAACCAATATTTTGTACCCCAGGAATGTATATCCCGTAAATTAGCATCATTATGATAAGAATTTGAAGAACGTTTATGATTTTAATGGTCTGGAGACCAATTTTACATTATTCTCATTATCTTTAAAAACAAGTGTAAGTAAATTACCCGAAAATCTACAAATAGAGGTAATTAATTTGCACTATGCTAGTGATCTTATTCAGAGACTTGAAGATTTAATTAACTTTTCTTCGTGCTTGTCAAAAGATAATATACCCTTAGCTATGAATATTTGTAATAAGAGTAATCCCTTTCTTTAGGTGTAAATTTTTACATGGCAACAGCTTCTCTTCTCAGTAGAAAATTAATAAGTAAAAAAAAATTAAATCATCAAAATCGAAACGCGATGAGGTCTTGTAGTTGAAAGTTGTAGTGAGAAATAAAGAAGTTTATAATTATTAACATATAAATATATGTTTTTTTATGTACGCGTTAAAGAAAAATTTAATAAATAAGAGAAAGATTATAGGTAAATAATTCTCAAGTTTTGTCCCAACAGTAAAGTTTTCGATAATTTGTTTATTTTTAATCTTGAGTAATTTATTTAGTGGTTGATTAACATGTTAGAATTATTTGAAATAAATGTCAGAGTAAAAATTTAATATTTAACTATCAATAAATTTTAATTACGAAGCTTAATGGACAGAAATGTCTTGCAGATACCATCTTTCAGATTTCGAACAAAAACGTAAATATAATTTGGGTTCATTATTTTTCCGTCATTGTTATTACTGTTCATGAATATTTTGATAAATATTTAGCAAATAAAATTTGGATAAAAATTCATTTTGTTAGAAAAATCATTTCGTTTGGTTTAAAAAATAAAATTTGGCCCTCCATCTGCTTTTAAATCGTGCATTCGGCCCGCATGCAATTTCAGTTTGAGGCTACTGGATTGTTTCTGTAATCAAATGAAATTTTGATTACAGAACATCATAACAGTTGTTAAATTTAGCCATATCAGTTTCAAAATATTCAATATTATAAAAACTAATACAGACTTCCTGATCGAAAACAGAAAAATTTCTGCTTCTTACCATTTCACCAGCTTTCAGAATGCAAAGCAAAATCTGTAACAGAATAATGAATATATTAATTACTGTGAGTAAGATATAAAGCCAAAACATTCATGTCTTATTTAAGAAAAGAGCTGTTATGAATAACTCCTAATATCATCAAATCAATTATTAATCATTCTGCTGTGTGTTAATTTTAGTGGGGAGGTCCAAAATTTCAGTTTCGTTTCATGGAGATAACTTAGATTAATTTTTTTATTTAACTAATGATGATTAAATTTTTGCCCATAAATTTTAGTTATTCAACATTTTTTACACTGGAAGAGTTTATAAATATATTTAAAATAATTTACCTTAAGTTATATGATTTTAATTTTCACTGATCGTTTCATTTAAAGGTCTTTTTTTATTAATATTGTAAATTGTTGAAATACATTTTTTAAATTAATGTTCATATGATCAAATAATTTCTTAAAACTTCGAATGGCGTCGAAAAAATATTATTTGAACAATTTATCGACTCACTATACACAAAAGATTAGAATGATCTCAGATTTTAATTAAAAATGTAGAATAGCTTTCAAATATTTGAATCCTTTTAAACTAAATTAAGAATAGTTAAAATGTAGAAAAGCTTTAAAATATTTGTAACTTTTCAAACTAAAATTTTATTTTTAACCCAAAGGAGCGGTAGCCCAGAAGGACTATTAGTCTCAAAATGGCATTTTGTGGCGTTTCAGTATAAACGGCGAATCACTTTTTACATTGTTGCCACCAAATATTATCGCCCTGCATCATATTTAAATAATGAAGAATCTGCATGAATGTATGTATGTTTCTCGCACTGTGAAAAAACGACGGTACCTATAGCCATCAAATTTTGAATCGTAATCCTCCACCTGAACGTGGGCACCTGGAAGCACGAATTTTGAATTTCGAATTTGTTTTATTGCCTATTTAATATTTTGTAAAACTTTAACGAATTCTTCATTAACAATCTCAACGATTTCAAAGCGAGCAATGGTAAAACTGTAGAGAAAAAAATAAATAAATAAAATAAAATAAAAAATCTCAAAGGTTTCAGATTTTAAATTACGTGCAAAGGGGCGTTTTTTTAACGTTTTGTGTGTTACCTTTATTTATTAAACATCATGTTCTTCTCACTTAAACCATGAAATTCAGTTCAACAGCAATATCGCAAAATAATTTTAAAATGAGCATATCTTTAGAATTTCCGATGCACAGTTCCGGGCGCTAGAGATAAAAAGGGTTTTTATTCCCCGGTAGAGTGTTACCATTGCTCGCTTTTAAATCGTTGAGTTTGTTAATCAAAAATTCGTTAAAGTTTTATAAAATATTAAATAGATAATAAAAACAATTCCAAATTTTGGCTCTAAATGGGCATTCCATTCGGGTGGAAACGTACGTTATTCAAAATTGGATGGCTCTAGGTGCCGTTGTTTTATCACAGAGCGAGAAACATATATACATTTATGTAGAGTCTTCATTATTTAATTTCTTTAAATATAATACAAGGCGATAATATTTGGTGGCAGCCCTTTGAAAAGTGAATCGGACATTTATAGTCAACAAACGAAAATAATATTCTTTCAAGGCAAATTGCCCCTTTCGACTAAAAAAAAAAAAAAAAAAAAAAAAAAAAAAAAAAAAAATTTCAAATTTCAAATTTGGTCTTCCACATGCTCATATTCCTTGGAGGATTACGTTATTCAAAATTCGATGACTCTATGTACCGTTGTTTTATCACAATACGAGAAATATACATACATTTATGCAGATTTTTCATTATTTAATTTCTTCAAATATAATGCAGGACTCTAACATTTTGTGGCAACAGTTTGAAACGTGAACCGACATTTATGACTCCGACGCAAAATGCCAAAACGAAACTAATAGTCCTTCGGGATTCAAATCCCTTTGGACTAAAAAAAAATTATCTTCAGCGCGCGAGACTTTAGAATATCCGGAAAGACCGGATGTCTTTAGACCTGATATCTTTAGAATCGGAAGTTCTAAAGATATCCGGTTTCAAAATATTTTGTAATATTGCTGTTGAATTGAATTTTATGTTTTTTAAGTACGAAGAACGGGATATTTAATAAACGAAGGTAACATAGAAAACGTTTAAAAAGGTCCCTTTGGGCGCAATATAAAATTTAAAAGCTTTCGAAATTTATTTATTTATTTCAAAATTATATTTATTCTGATTTTTGGCATACTTGAGAAAATATGCATCACCTTTTATTTTTTATGCAAATTCTGAACAACTTTCTTAGAAATTAAAATATATGAATAAATTAAAGTATATTTTTTAAAAGTTCAACGAACATCTATTTCGTTAATTTCTTCATTTAGTTGACGTGACGTTAAATGTTTTTCACAATATGCTGATGTTACTGGAATTTAAATGACACACGAAACTATATTTATAATATTCATACATTTATAATCGGCAGCTATAAAAATCATATCTAGTTGCTTCTCGATGTTTTTGATCTTATAAAGTATTCAAAAATTGAATAGAATCAAAATGTTTGAGATTAATGCTACTTCATCAAAAAGGTCATTCATAATGGAATCCGACTGTTCTTTTAGCTTTGAGGCTTCAATAATTTCAAAAAATTTCAAAAAAATATGTTGGAAATTAGTTATTTAACAGATTTAGAGTTGACAGTTTCCAAATGTGGAATTTCCAGATTGTTCTTCTAAATAAGCAACTGCTAAAGATAGAAATAATATAAAAGTTACTGATAATCTTTTGATATTTACATTATATATTTTTTTTCCAAATGTAGATGAGCTTGAAAAATTATGATGCTAAATGTCATCATCCAGCCGCAAGAGATTTTTTATTTCGAAATAAAGGACATTTGCCATTTTTTTAACTTAAATATCTGATGTTGACACCACATGACTTCCGTGTAGGACTATTAAATTATTCACACCTTTTGCAGCACTTCATTTAAACTTATTTCCCGAAATTAGTCTAACTTTATTAACTGATTCCAATAGGAAAGTTAAAAATGACATAAAAAATTCCAAATTTTGAAATCAAATATCCCGATCAGTTTTTGTCGTCGGGAGTCAAACTTTGTACTTTCATTATGATTATTAAAACTTTCACAAATATAAGTATAGGAACTGGGAGACCAGATTAAAGTTAGATTTCCTTATTTGTCCAACATTAATTTTTTTTTTAATTTGAAATTGCTAAAATAGGAATATTTTCGTCGTTGAAACACTTCTGCAATCGGAAGTGTTTGACTATGACCAGCGATTGCGAAAATAAAGGCCGGATAAGGTCTTTTAAGCCATGTACGGGAATGCGTACATATGTATATGGTACTGCCAATTGCAGAAAAAAGGAAGTGCATACATACAAAATGTCAACGTTCTAATGGCTAATCGTTTTGTGTTATGTGAGATAATACTTACGTACAGACGTCACAAAAAAATCCATTTCGAATCTATTTTGCAATCCGTTTTGTAATAAAGAGTCTTTTATTCTGTTCATATTTACAGTTCCATGAAAAAAAAGGGGGCAAAAAGGATTCCAAAGCGGTCAAAATATGTATTTCCACTAAAATCTGACAACCGAAATTTTTCGCTGTTATAATAATTCCTTTACTTCGTACAAGGAAGTAAAAAGACAAGTATAGGAAAATCGATTAAAAGAGTATCCTTTCCAAAAATGGACAATTGACTAACTTAGAAGCCTAAGCCTAGTAAATTGCCAATTCTAAGAGATGTTGCTGTTTGACATAGCTTATTTTATCAAATTATAACTACATGCTGCCTAATTAACAGAAAAATTTAAAAGCGGTCTTTGCGCTATTTAACAGTTTGAAGCTTCATTTTATTTTTCAAAAAACATCCGTGACTAATGTGAATTTTAATAATGATAATTTTTTGTAATATTTTGCACCATTATTGTAATTAATAAAGGTTGTTTTTAACAACAAATATTACCTCGGCATGAAATAATTTTAACATTTGGATAAAGAATTATCATTTTCTCGCCACCTTGCAACGAATTTTTAACTAATTAATTTTGTTTTGTTTTTAAAGTAATCACGACTGTCTTGTTATTCAGACGGCACACGTAATTTTCTGTGCAATTTGCAGTCGTCTTTCATAAGCTATCCAGTTTTTTCGTAAATTATACTACTGACTAAAATTGTTTCCTCGTGTGATAAAAATAAACCCGAAAAATCTGCAATCCTTGATCAGGAGAAAAAGACAGAAGTCTAATCAGATCGGCTCACTATCGTCCAGGTAATCGTACATTAACTAAAAATTAGCTATAAATGTTGCTAGAAACAAGCTGGTGTAGAAGAAGTTTGAAAGCTCAGGTATTAGAATTTGAAAAGCACACCAGGACTGTCAACCTAAAGAAAGCGATGCCTTCATGGAGGACTTTGAAAGGAAAATTGTCTGGTATTCAGGTTACACATTGGGGAAATGACGAAAACCAATAATACTGCCAACCCGTTCGTTCCTGGATTCGAACTCACTTTTAATTCCCAGTATTTAGGGCTCTTAACTACTCGACCACTGGCAGGGCCTTCAGTTTGAAAGAGTAATTATTTTACTTCGCAGATTCAGGTAAATCTTCTATCAATGCATTATGCATTATGTTCAACAAATCGCTACCTTTCCCGGCTTCAATACTTTACAAGCACACGTGGCAAGACCACGTGGCAACAGCAACATAATCCACTGAGAGACGAACCTCTAAATTTATCCCCCAATGTCTCCAATTTCCTCAACAACTCGACATATTTAATCATATTAAATCATTTGGTCCTTTCATGAAATATCATCAGCGTTTCGACCTAAGTTAAAACGACTTGTGTAACTGCGGCCAAATAAGAGACTCATACCACTATGCATTTCACTATCAACAACTCTTCACTATCACTATATATGTCAATCAGACATTCGACTCAAAAAACCAGCTCCACAAAATTGACCAGGTTGAATAAAAAGTATCACTCGCAAAAAATGAGCTCTCGGAAAACTCAGCCAAACAATGGTCAAATACAGATATAATACAGCTAACATTTTCCTAAGGAGAACTACTCAATAGAATCCTGCTGACTCAGCATTCATCTGTATGCTTCTATTATGTTAAATATAAATCCTTCTGTATGTTATGTTAAATATAAATGCACAAATATGTGTATATGTTAAAACTATGTGTTAAACATCAGTGTGCAAATCACGTAAAAATTATTATAAGTATGTACGTTAAAATTATACGCAAAACTCGAAGTACTAGAAGTGCAGCATGCCATAAGAAATGTAAGAAACAACTATGGCCTAGTATGTCTGTGTAACCTTTCTTTTATCAAAACTAAATAAATACCGTCGAGATGGCTTCAAATCCGACTGGTCTACAAAACCTTAGGTCGGATGTCATCTCGACGGAGAGTTAAGAGTTCGAAAAATTGAAAGGAAGGCAGAGCACGTCCAGAACATAAGCAATATTCTCAGAAAAGTTGTGACTAACACCGAGCTACAGAATATTGCTTTTGAATATGATAATCCATCTGAAGGTTTAGTCATATAACAAAAGCTTTGACCTATAACATGTTACCCGCAATACAGGACTACTATAAAAGATTTATTCATTTTCAAAACCCTATATGTTCAAAGGTCTTACAGGTACAGATATGAGTGATTGTTGAAAATAATTGCAAACCCACCAATTTCGTATAACAACATTGGGATTGATGCAAGTTACCTGGATATGTTGCAATTGTGGTTGTGTCAACAAATGGCTGCTGATTCTTGGAATTTTGTCTGCCAACAGAATGGGGTACACCCTCGTTGGAACATTCAAGTTTGTCGATACCTGAACGCATGAATTTTTCCGGGGAGGGATGAAATTAATTATTTATGCAAAGTTAAATGTACTTCTTACAGTTAAGCATTTACATGCTGTTCAAAAAGATAATAGATTTCAGCACAGATTCGTACTCACCATATTGTCATTCATCATTTCATTTTCGGTCTCATTCTTTTGTGAGCACATATCATAGTGAGATTCCATCTGAAAAGTTTAAATGAGGTATATTATTCCGCGTGTATTTATGAAATAATAATCGCCTAATTTTTCAAGTAGAAAATATGTATTTTACAGATTGGGGTAATTTTCCCGCATAGTAATTTCCGCCGCTTAATTCGATTGCGGTTAATGTTATAGTCGGATAAGTTCCATCCTTTCATATACGAAAACACAACAGTTACTTCGATCAACAGTTCGGTTAATGTGATCAAAATTTTATACAATATATTTTTAAACTGTAGTAAGTTTGTCAAATAAAAGATTAACATGCCAAACAAGTTTAAATTGCATTATAAAATTAGACAAATCAAAGAAAAATGCCGCCAAATAAAGAATTGCGTCGTCAAACACATTGGTTTCTATTTTAATCTACCATTTAAAATTAGAAAAAACAACCTTAGTTTGACACTGATTTTGAATGACTCTGTCGATTTTGAGGGGATAAGACACAGATGCTTCTTTTTCGGGAGCAAATAAAATTCGCTGAAAACACGTATCCCAAATTATGGCTTCCTTTTTGGCTGATTTCAAATTTTAAGTTGGCAAGTTCTCTTCCAGTGAGAGATGTCCTCCGAGATTTAAAGTTAGGAGCACATCATTGGTCAAATAAATTTCCAGAAACATTATGATGAGCTTTTGCATTAAAGACAATATAAACGGTTCGTAAACAAACTTTTGCATTTATCTACTTAAAATGCTGCGAAAGTGCTTGCTTGTATGCTTCTAGTTATATTTATATTAAATTAGTTAAAATAACTAATATTATTCAAAAAAATTTTGAAGACTCTTCCCCCCCCCCTTTTTTTTTTTTTTTTTTTTTTTTTTGTTACCAAAATAACCGTGGACAAACGTGATCAAATTAAGCGGTGCCTAATGTATGTCAATCTAGAATTATGATCAAAATCGCATATAGTAAATAGCGTCATTCTTTTAAGTCTCAGAAGGCAAAGGCTTGGATTATCATTAGAAAGCTGTCTGAAGTTACCCAACTTTTATAAATAATAATCGAGATAGGAAATGGGAGTAAAATCTATTTATCTCGTAAACAAGCAAAATACGTAGCTTAGAAAATCAGATAACTTAGAAGTTATCTGATAATTCTGGCATATTATACGGTAATATAAATTACTCCTTAAACATGCTATTTATTTTTATATACTCCATTAAAACAATTAAATATTGAATTTATGTTTGTTCTCGCCCTTATCTCAAAACTGTGAAAAAAGGAATAAATGTGATTAAAGATAGCAATTTCAAAATAAAAATATGTTTCAAAACTGTTTTCATATTAAATTTTCAAATAATATGAGGACATAATTGGACTTAACTAACATTTTAAAGAATTCTATTACCGTACTTCAGAAGTGTCGCTTGTTTAGCGAAGTGACGCTTAATGTGATTGCAATATCATTCAAATATTTTTATCGAATTGTCGAAATCCGAAGTTGTATACGAAAACATGGAAAATACTTCGCTTATTGTAATCAACGATTCGGTTAATATGATTAAAATATTACAGAATAAATTTTTTAGCTGAAGTAAAGTCGCCAAACAAGGCAATAATTAGCAAGTGACAAATAAATGCAACCAAGTAAAGGATAAAATCACCAAACAGCTTGGTTTCGATTTTAATTAATAAATTTAGCAAACAGACACTCGGACACATGTCCCTCTTCTTCAGGAGGAAAAAACTGCAGAATTTCCCTCCTCTTGCTCATGGGGAGCGGGAGACATCCATGAAACAATCTCCTAAAGTTGCTTTTTGAATAATTTTTAATTTTACATTGAAATATTCTCTTGCAACGAGACATGCCTTCCAAGTACAGTATACTATCGATTATTCGGGTGCGAATAATCCGGTTTGCGGATTATGGGTGGCGGTGCCTACAAAAGTACACTCAACCCTGTACGTGAAAATATGTAAAAACTAAAACGCGTGCAAGTCCGAACTTGGTGAGAGATTCTTCCTAATATATAAATCTGAAATTTATCTAATTGTAAAGAAGTCGTGGGAATAACAGAGGTTGTATTATAGGGTATTTCTCCAGCGTTCATAGCATGCCTTCGTGGTATAGCGGTCTGCAAGCTGGGCGCGTATTCCAGAGGTCCGTGGCTCGATTCTCGGCGAAGGTGTTGCTAATTTTTCACGTCTCCTTCTTTAAAAAAAAAAAAAAAACTTCTAATGGCTCTTCAGTGGCGCCCGAACTAAAAGGTTGGTGGGTGATGATTCTCCACACACAGGATTTGGCGACTGGGTCCCCTAAAACCCCAGTCGAAGGCAAAGGCGTTGCTCATTTTTCACTCCTCCTGCTTTCAAAAGAAAAAAATCCTAATGACTCTACAGTATGTCAAGAAACTGGAAATTCTTCAAAAAACATCGAATAGGAAAACATTGTGGAATGGTTCGATGGCGATTCAGCTGAGCCTTACTTCCAACGGCTTGAAGAACGCGGATATCGTTTCCGAATAAACTGATAAAATAACATTTACAAATCGATAAATATTTAAACGTTCTCAAAAACAAAAGAAAATTACTGATTGTTTTAAGAAATTAATGGGTACATATACGAGATGTATGAAAATTGATAGTTTGGATTATCCGTGTTTTTCAATTATCCGTGATCTGTTTCCCGGTCTTAGCGCGGATAATCGAGAGTAAACTGTATTAACATTAAGAATCTAGCGTCTGTCAAATAATTACCAAAAATGTTATGGGTAGTTCACATATAATCTTTTGCGTTGAAAACAATGTGAACAGATTATAAAAAAATTTTTGCCCTTACCTAATTAAAATACTGTGAAAGTATTTATGTGTATATTTCTGATTACATTTACATTAAACTGTTTAAACTTCATTTGCTGTTTTGAAAGTCACTTTTTATCATCGTTCAATGTTATCATTTGGTTAATGTTATCAAAATAGTCGTGGATTAAACGTGATCACGTTAAGCCGCACCTACCGTTACTGAAGATAAATACTGATTTTAAAACCATCACAAATACCATTGTGAGAGATGAAAGAAACGCTACGCATCTTTAAACATAAGGCGAAGAAGGTGAAAAAAATTTAACAAAATAAATGGACTGCATAATATTATTATTCTGCATTTTAGTTTTTTCCATTTTTCTTATCTGAATGAGTTCTAGCTATGTAAGTTTATCCAAACGAGTTTCTTCAAAGTGAAAGACAGATATTCAGTTTCTCTTCATCTAGATTTCAACTATGTATAATCACGATAAAAAAAGTTAGAGATTATTACATGCATTTTTCGTTCATATGACCTTTCGAAACTATTTAAATAGACTTCTTATACTGAAGGTGTTCTGTTTGAAATTTAAAGGTAACACTTCCATTCAACAATTCGCGCACCAAATCTGGTATTTTAAATTGCTTTGAAATTGTGTCTTTTGAAGACTGTGTTACAGTTTTGAATGCAACAATTGTATCCTGAAACTCATTAAATATTTTTCTATTTAATGTTTAGTGAGGGTAACACAAATGAATGAGTTCTAAAATTCAAAGAAGGATAAAATTTTTTAAAAATCCGGTGTGGCCAGTACATGACCTTCCGCCAATTCCATGTTTCAGTTACCAATGAGCTTTAAATAAGCATCACGTCCTGTTCATCGTTTATAAACAAAATCCAACTAGGTGTTCCAATCAATAGAAAAACCTGTGATATGAAATTTTAGATTTTATTTTACTACGTGTCATTGGCCATGCTTAAAAATTGATTTTTCTAAATTTATACGAACGTATAATACAATGCTTGCCTCTTCATTTTTTATTAGGCAGCTGAATAACATATAATTCAGTTGTCTTTTAATTAGAGAAAACGAAATGCTCATAAAATATTCAAGATAAATACTTTGAAGTGAATACCCTGATTTAACTTTCTTCTAACTTGTTGTATAGTATGAAGCAATCTAACTTCATTTTGATCTACATGTGCATCTCCACGATATTTAGGTATTCATCAACAATCCTCGTTCAGTAGCAACAAAATATTGATTTTAAAAATCTTCTTACAACTAGCAGCAATAAGAAGGAAAGCTGTTACTATTACAGTATTTGGAATTTTGTTCTGAATATTTTATTTTAGAATAAGCTGCAAAAATTCAAAAAGACAGCTTTTCCCCAGGCTCCTGTTTTGATTTTCTAGCAATTTGCACCATCGCCGAACTCCTTGAATGAAAGATAGTAAGACATGCTGTCTTTTTAGATTTGTTTTGAAATTTAACAAGTGAATTCTAAGTTATGACAAGGTCTGAACTAAAAATATTTTTGTTTATATTTTTTTCTAACTGCAGCTTCTGAGTAATATTGCACGAGCTTTAAGCAGATGTAATCGTTTTCTTTACTCTATAGTTTTTTTTTATTCATTATCTATTCATATTGTTATTATCTATGTTTTGTAACAGAGAATGACAATTTACTATGTGGCTCTTCTTTTTAGAGAGTTAGTGAAACTTTTGTTTTCATCATTTGAGAGTAAAGGAATTATTTAATTATTGTAGAGTCATAAATAACTAAAGAGATACAGATAGTTATTTCCGAGTAATAAATAGTTCTTGAGGTAACAAATTTGGTGAGAATTTTTTGAACATTTGGCTTTCGCTGGAAGGACTGTTATCTGTAAAAAGAAATTCTTTCGTTTATTTATAATGGATGTTTTGAAGTGCAAACGATCTCAATTTAGGAGATTGTTTACAAAAGCTTTAAATGATTTTGAGAAGAATGAAAATGATTTATCTTTAGACAGAAAAATTTCGAAACTTAAATTAGTTGAGGACAAAGCGAAACCTATGATTGAAATAGAACAGACTTATAGAGAAGAATTGATTAAAATTGAAAAAAATGAAACTATGATAAATAACGAGTTTGATGGGTCGGAATGCCATATTAATAAGTGGAGAACGGTAGAAAGCAAATTAGTTTCGCTTCTAGCTGAAAAGGAAAATGGTTCTGTTGTTAATGAAAGCTT